TCTCACAAAAAGCCCTAGCTGGAGTCTGACAAGAGCAAAATAGATGTGCTTATAGAAATTTTATCTAAGACCACCTTAGAATTTATTTTAAAAGTCATAAAACTCTAATGAACCACTGAAATCTGGGTCTTTTTCACAACTGCTGCTTTATTATTCACCTCTTGAACAACTGATTCATCGTCCATTTTAATCACATTTTTCTAACCAAGTTTGTGTAAGTATGAACTACCACACTACTGAAATATTTATTACAATATAAAGTGACTTTTTTTGGTTTTTGCTGAATTTTCTCTCTGTTCCAATTTTTTTTTAATTAGCTATATTCATGCAGCAATCCTATCTTCAAAATATCCTGTTAATTACATTTCAAAAATGAAAAATGTTTTTATTTTTTATGCTCCAACATGACATTAAGCATATGTTTCCTAGATACTCAAAGTCAAGCAGATATTCTTGTATCTCCTGATGTCAAGCACATCGCTGGCTTAAATAAATTCCTGTTATTCTTGCCGTGGATGGCATTGATAGAAAAAATAGGATTAAAAAAAAGGCCATTTGCAAACAGTTTTTCTTAATTGTTTATGGAGTTAAGAAGCAAAGCAACAGAGTATGTGTCTACTAGAATAAAATATTTCTTTACATAGATATATGAAAAACAAATTTTTTTAAAAATTAAGTATTTATAAAGGTAAATTAGGTCAAAGAGTTCGCATCCCCACACCGGCCAGCTAAAAAAAAAAGAAAAAAATGTGACCTGGAGCTAGAAGAGTTAGCTCAGGTCAATCTTTGTTTCCCTTCCCAATCTCAGCATCTAAACATGGAGTAGCAGGGACTAACCACAGAACTTGAAATTAGGGCCATGGAGAGCAGTTTTACTGGCTACCCTAAAATTTTCTTCTACTGTCCCTGCAGTAGGGAACACTAATTCCCTGTAATCGTGGTAAAAGTATCCCCACCTCCACAGATCATCACATCTTGGAGGGCCGTGTGATTTTTTTTTTTTTTTTATCTCAGCTATCACAACTCTAGTCCAACGTAAAATGCATTATTATTTCCACCTGTCCCCCTGCTTCTCCTCAGAACCATATTCTGTTTTTTCCTCACATACCAACAAGAGTATGCTTTAAAAAAAAATACAAATCAGGGCCGGCCCGGTGGCGCACTGGATAAGTGCGCCGCTTGGGAAGCGCGGCGGCGCTCCCGCCCGCGGGGTCAGACCGCACCTACC